AGAATTCTACTGCCTGAGGGTTATAATCCCTAAGTGCGGCCGAAGGCTGCCTACGCAGAAAGGTGTTCTCTGCAAAATGTGTTCAGCCCCCTCTTCTTCGGCAACACAGAAATAATAATTCTACCAAGTAAAAATTCATATTATAATATTATTCAAAATGCCAGTCTGGTAGCACTAAGTTGTATGTTATTTTGCTATCTTATTCATCGTTTATATGAAAACTTTAACAATAAATTATATAAGAACTATAGGGTTGCTAGAAAAAAGGGGGGTAGTTTTGAAATCAGGGGGTCCTATTCCACCCCCCCTCATCACCCCTTTTTCTAGAATTTGCCGTCCGTCTACTAAAATTTTCCCTTCGCGGAATCTTTCCTGTATGTGCGATGGCTAAACGGGCGGCAGGCGTAGTGGGTGCAGTAACTCCAACCCCGCTATTTAGCTACTTGAACCGCCGTTTAACGTTAAATGTATGGAGTCAGTAACGTCGATAACGATGTTTAAAGGTTGAGGAAATGGCCCATACTTTTGGCTGTCAATTTCAGAGTCCGAGATTGATGTTATTTCAATTCTTTTCTTTTATAAAATTTGTTAATGTTAGACAATAAATGTACCTTTACTTAAAATAATGATTTTTTTGCAACGTGTATATGTGACAAATATTACTTTCGGCCCACCCATTCCGACGTAATAAGCGAAACAAAAGCGCGAATATAGAAAAGGAAACCCCAGTACTCCCCTTTTGTCGAAAAATTAAGTAAACAGTTACGTGGAAGTTACTCCTTTCCTTGCAATGAGCATATTTAAAACTGGATTTTTCCGAATGTAGCTAACTGCCTTTTTATGAGTAACCATTGTAAAATCATAACCATTGCACTGTAAGATTTTGTCGTGGATACGCAAACCCGCTCTTGACGCTGGACTTTTCTCGTGAACTTCAGTAACATATATACCCTGAAAATGGTGACATTAAATTATGTTAAAATGATTATATTACTAACATAGTCGGTATATCCTTGAGGGCTTTTCTTAAAATCTTGGTCTATGCCACCTCCTATTTTAAATCCACACTTTAGTATTTCACGCCCTTCGCGGTCAAAGTCTTTTTCTTTATGAAGCGTTATTGGAATCTGAAATGTTATATTTAATAAGAGATTGTCATTTTATTTAAATGCCTACACTTAAGCACTCCATGGCCGTACCGGCCTGATGTTGAAAAGCCATTTTCGCCATTCCAGAGTTTAAAATATTAGATTTTAAAACCAAATTCTGTTAGGAATGAAACGATACGAGTAAATACAAGTACACACTCGATACTTTTCGATCGATACTAAAGGCCGGTCCACATAGAACTTTGGCGTTGGCGTTGGTTTGACAGAACGCACGTTAAAAGTATGCTTGCTACAATGAACGCTTTGACATCTATTGTTTTCATTGTCATCACCAAAGCGAAAATTTTGCAGTGAAAATATAATTTAAAGTGTGTTTGTTTTTTTAAAGCTATCGCAATTAAAATGTTGTCTAAAGAAGCGGTTGCAGTCATTTTAATTGCACTAATGATGTACGAGACTCGCGAATGTTTGCGAAAAATAAATTCCCGCCGGGAGTCTTGGGTGAGACCACTTTACTTAAGTCGGGATATCAATGGACTATTTGCATCAAGTTTTGAAGAAATGAATAATAATGACACTGAGCAGTTCTACGAGTCTACGAATTTATTCACTACATCACATAGTGACCCAAATCTCTCATTTGCCTTGTCTTCCATTCGGGCCCGTTTTTTTTATGGAGCTAGCGTCAATAGAGGCTCTTGGAGAACTAATTTCTTCGCAATTCTCCACCTCTGAGTCCTGTGTGTTGCTGTTAATTGTATCCCCATCCGTTTGGGAGAAATCCAGGCTCGAAAATGTTCTGCAAGTAAACAAGAAAAATGTTATTTATACATATTAAGGGTATTCATCAAACCTTATAAATGCATTGTAAACCGTATAAACTTATAATTGTGTAAACCTTATAAATGAACTGTCAAAATTTGTATGGAAACTCGTTTACACATTTCTGATAAATTTATCCAGCGATTTCACTGAATAAACTTGATAAACTGAAGACAATGCAACTCTGTCGCAACTCTAGCTATGTTTTCTTAGGCAATAATCGGGATCCGCATACATATTTTGCACGCAAATTCATCAACGATATGATCCTGATAGAGATCTGGTTCAATAATTATCCCGTCTGTTTGTTTTGTTTCACTGATAATTCGCGAAGTTTGATAGCCGTGACAAATGAATTCATACACAAACAGACATTCTGCCATTGTTTCTTATAACTTGCTTCAAATAAATGGCCATTATGTTATATGTACATTTATTTAAATAGATATCTCGTAAATATAATTTTTTCCAATTTAGTGAGGTAGTTTCTATAATTTCTTTATCCCCGTCCTAGTGGTATAAAGTTAGTGACACTGCGCTTTATAACCAAGGAAAACACGACTATTGTCGCATGTGTAAACGAAAAGAGAGTGTGGGTCGTTCATGTAACAGAGTGCATAAACTTATAGGATTATCTGCTTGATAAAGTTATCGGTTTAGATGAATACCACTAATATTGCTTGGCGGTAATAAGGAGTGAACATGAAAATGAAAGCTGAAACAGCATAAAAAAAGCGTACGTTACTTGCAAATTATAAAATAAATATAAATTTTAAGAATTTCAGCAACACACAAAAATAAAGCTTTCGCACGAGCGTTTGTTTGGTTTTTCAACTGTCAAAATTTTACTCTGCATTTGGCACAGCAAAATTCAATTTATTTGTACACCATAGCAAATTTTTCCACCCCGTCTCACCACTGAGAAAAAAGTTACCGATTGGCACAGGCCCATAGTCGCATTTCAGACTTCTACTAAGGGCCGGTTGTTCAATGTCTGGTTATCACTACCACAACACTATCGACGATTTCGACATCATGCATGTAACATGTGATCGATAAAGCAGTAGTTGTGCTTAACCGGAGCTTCTACCTCCGATTTGTGCTAATCAGACATTGAACAACCGGCCCTAAGTAGTTTCGACTTAGGTCGGTGTTATGCAGAAATTTTGTTTGGCAAACTGCGTGCAATTGTTGTTGCAGCAAACTCGGAGAGAGCGAGTTTGGCGACTCTCACAGCAAACTAATTTTGTTTGGTCAAACTGCAGCAAATTCGGTGTTGTCATATACAAAAATTTTAAATTTTGCGCGTTATGTACATGTGAAATTCTCATTTCGTGTTGGCAATAGCCATGAAAACCATAATGAACGTGCAACCCTGTGCCAAACTCGACATAACCACCTCCGAGCAAACTAAGCAGCCGCCATTTAATTTGGCAAACAAAAGTTTGTCTGCATAACACCGACCTTAGTTTACGATATAGCAAAACGAGTGTGAAAATGTATCGATTTTTCTTTACGATATTTTGGAAAAAATTATATTTTTATTAAATAATGTTAAGTTTGATCATCCGTTTATGTAATTTTTATTTTCATTGCATGATTTTGCAAAAGAATAAGGTATCATTTTCTTGTTAATTGTGTGAAATAGCCAGAACAACCGCAGTGTTGTGAAGTCGAAGTTTATCGAAAGCATGCTGTGAAACATACAATTAGTAGATATCTAAATGTTATGCAGAAATTTACTTTAAAAGAACTAGCGCGGAACTGAATTATTATTTAAGAAGTTATCTAAATTATTCCAATTATAAAATTGTGATGTAGCTTTATTCGAATTGTAATATGCATTTAATTTCATCTTCCGATTAAAATGGATCGATCTTTGTAAATTTTAATTGGAGATTATTCAACATTATCAAATTCACCCTCTAACAACTTAATTTTTACATATTTCGCGTGTATTCCCTTAATTTGATAAAATACTCCTTCCTAGTTACGACTTAGTTGCAGCTGCAGCCGAAACTAAATTTTAAGTTGGTACTTAGCCAGAAAAGTCGAAACTAAGGCGACTATGAATAGCTTTAGTTGTGACTTAGAATAGTTTCGACTTAGTTGAGTACTAAATATGACTATGAATATGCGCCAATCATTTGTGCTTCAGTCGACCACATCTCTCGTTACTTACTTTGACAGTTCATCTTTGCAAGTGGGCATAGACAGTTGCTTTTATCCACTTTTTTGCGATGCTGTGAAAAGTTTTGTGGGTAAATATATTTCGTAATAACTTTGTTAGTTGTCGCGTTCTAAAATAGTTTTTTATAAGTGGAATTCCGCCAATGTTGCTTCATATAAAATCGATAGCTTTTTCTGTTGAATTGTTTACGGCTCTTAAAAAAAAAAAAGTGACTTTTATAAAAGGAGCTGCACGTGGGGCATATCCACCAGACTCCTAGTGGGGTTGTTTCGCCGGCAAATCAGCCCAATGGGGTAGATGTGCCGCTGGTGTATGGGCCCCACGGGGTAGATTTGCCGCTGGCGTATGTGCCCCTTGTTGTTGTAGCCAAGATACGCACCCGCCTCTGTGCAGCAAAAATGTGC